ACTTCAACTCCCAGAATTCCCCAGCCAGCTGGCTGGGGAATTCTGGGAGTTGAAGTCCGGACATCTTCAAGTTGCCAAGGTTGAGAAACACTGCTGTAAGTGAAATGATACTGCTTCCACCCCTGACACAAGATAAAAGGGATCTGAGATTGGATTAGGTGATTAATTCGCTGTTTATCTTAGCAACTTGGCTTCGGGGTTACAGTTGAAAGAGACATGGATGAAAAATTGACTTCGTCCCCATCCACATGTTCTCCATTCCCAGATGCTGCATTTGTGGGGTCCTTGGTGCTGTTTCCCTGCAGACATTGCCTTACCCAACTAGGGAACATCATCAGTGCTAGGAGGGAATGGGGATCGCTCTCATTTTGTATACTATAGTGGCTTGCTATGTCAGGGTTATAAGGGACGCGTTGGCTCCGTGGCTAAGACACTGAGCTTGTCGATCAGAAAGGTCGGCAGTTTGGCGGTTCGAATCGAATCCCTACCGCCGTGTAATGGAGGGAGCTCCCGTTCCTTGTCCCAGCTTCTGCCAACCTAGCAGTTCAAAAGCACATAAAAAATGCAAGTAGAAAAAATAGGGAACACATTTGGTGGGAGGGTAACAGCGTTCCGTACACCTTTGTGTTTAGTCATGCCAGCCACATGACCACGGAGATGTCTTCAGACAGCGCTGGCTCTTCAGCTTTGAAATGGAGAGGAGCACCGCCCCCTAGAGTCGGGAACGAATACATATGTGTGAGGGGAACCTTTACCTTTATATCAGGGTTGATGGGAGTGTTAGCCTTGGCTAGCCTGTTGTTGTACTGCTAGTGTGTTTGTAGCTTGGGTAGTTTCTTGATTATTTTCTTCTGGATTGTTGGTCAAGTATTAAACTTGGTCTTAATCGCTGCTCATCTGGGTGTGGATTGCTGGTCAGGAGGTGTTTTGGTCTTCTTTTTNCATCCATCCATCCATCCATCCATGCAATCATCCAGGCAGGCAGCCACCCACCCAACTACTCACCAACCCACCCATCCATATATCCATCCAATCATCCAAAAATCTAGGCAAGCAGGCTGGCAGGCTAGCTGGAAGGCAGGCAGGCAGGCAGGCAGGCAGGAAGCCACCCATTCATTCATTCATCCATTCATCCATCCATCCAATCATCCATCCAATTATCCAATCATCCAAGCTGGCAGGCTAGCTGGAAGGCAGGCAGGCATCCACCCTGTCAATTAAATAAAAGGGGTTTATCGGGATGAAGACTCGGCTTCATGCTGCTGGAGAAGCCTAGGTCAGAACACCATGATAGGTATGAAGAAACTGCTTGAGAGCAGTTGCCATTCCAAAATCAGCTGTTTGGGGCCGAGGCACTTTCATAAACCTTGCACTTCGACAAATAAACTCTTGAAAATTCCTGCTAAAAATGGAATGCCCACCAGGGTCCCTGGTTCGCCTACACCCAGCCTCCTTGGATGCGAGCCACGGATATTTGCCTTATGTTTTCCCCTCTCCCAGCCAGGCCGAATTGCTTGTTTTAGGAAGACAGGTGTGCCCTTTGCCTTTGCTGCTCCTGCTGCGTTTAATCACAGTTCTAATGTTAAAGAGGATGCAAAAAGACATTATTATTTCGGGCCGGGTTTCTGACACTATTTTAATAATGTATGTGAGACCAGGAGTACCATCTGGCAGGAAGCAAAGACAATTCTCTGTCTGGCGGCCCTCGTTCTCCCTTCCCTTCTTTGCTTTCTTTTCATTTCCAATAATTCACAGGGGCTAATATTGCCTTCCACTTATCTCCCTCAAGAGTCAGGTCAGGGGCATGCTGGTGCGTGATAGGAGCCGAGGTGGCACAGTGGTTAGGGTGCATTACTGCAGGCCACTTCAGCTGACTGTTATCTGGTTCTAATCTCACCGGCTCAAGGTTGACTCAGCCTTCCATCCTTCCGAGGTGGGTGAAATGAGGACCCAGACTGTGGGGGNTATTCCTCGCAACAACGTTTATGCTTTATATTACCGTGGGCCTATGTTACCTGTTGGCTTGGCATGAAAACGATGCAATGAACTTCCCCTCTTTCCCCCGGGTCTCCTCACCCGCCACGCTGTCAGTCAATGCCCAATGAAAAATCCTCTGGTTGCTTTGGAAAAGGGACCCTGCTTTTGCCCCTTTTCCATCTCCGTCCGCTGGCCTTGGCCTGATCTCGTGCTCGATTGGCGCTCCTCACAGTCGGGGCCAGCTCTGCTCCAAACCCACCCCGAATCCCCCCTCATTCCAATCTCTTCCCCCTCTCCCACCGTTGCCAATGTCAGGCTGGCAAAAGATGCGGTGCAAAGCAGGCAAGCACAATGGACAGCTAATCCCAGGGGTGGCCCAGGAGAGCATCTTCCGCCAGTCTGGGTCCAAAAGTTGCCAGCCCTTGAACGAAAACGCCTCCTTGCCTTGCTAGATCCTGGTGACCTCCAACGACTCGCGCATCAGGCTCTACGATCTGCGGGACCTGTCTCTCTCCATGAAGTACAAGGGCTACGTCAACAGCAGCAGCCAGATCAAAGCCAGCTTCAGGTGAGGAAGGGAGCAGGGAGGTTCAGAGCTCCGGACCGAAGGGCAGGAGGAACGTGTCCTAAATTCGGAGATGGGGACCGGTCTCCCCTTGACGGGGGCTTCCCCTGAGGTGGGGCTCGGGCAGGCGGAACGTGATCGGGAAGCGGAAAGGGCTGTGTCAGAATATTCATGAGCTGGCAGAGACATGGTAACAAGGTCAGCCAATAAATAGGGCTTAGCAACAAGGTCAGCCAATGGGAGCTGAAACAGATTGGAGCCCGGCAGTGGTTTAGCCTTGCAGCTCTGAGTGCTGTGCTGAGAATTGAAACTGAAACTAGTCTGGTATTATTCTGCTCTGAACTGAAACTCAAGTGTTCTCTCCTCTGCCTGTGAACCAACTGTTGCAGTGGTGGGTTTCAAAAAAGTTTCGAACCTACTCTGTGGGTGTGGCCTCCTTTGTGGGAGTGGCTTGCCGGCCATGTGACCTGGTGGGAGTGGNGTCCTTCTGTAGTTTGAGCACCCCGGAAATCAACCCTCTGCCTGCTTCCTGTCCCGCAGAATTACTTCCTGCTCTCCTCATCCATGGATAAGACCGTCCGGCTCTGGCACATATCCCGGCGGGAATGCCTCTGCTGCTTCCAGCACATCGACTTTGTCACGGCGATCGCCTTCCATCCTAGGGTCAGTGGCGCACACCCCCCCTCTGTTTCTTTAATTTTCAACCCACTTTGTGCAGAAAGCAGGTGTTTGTGCACCCTTAGAGGGAAGGGGAGAGATCCAGCATACCCAAATATGGTGGAGGAAGGACACCCTGGGCACCGTCTTGGGCCCCGGATTGTCCTCCAGCAGCTGCCAAGATGTCTCTCCCTGGTCGATATCCCGGTTTCTGAGTTGAAAGTGGGGTCAGGGTTCCAAATAGCATCCAAAATTAAATCAGAGTCCAAGGCAAAGTTTTGCCCATTTATTAACAGAGCCATGTTGACACATCTGGGAAAACCGGAATCTGAAAGCTTCCCGGTTTTCCCCACCCAGTTGGAAGTTCGTGACCTTCCCCCCACACCCACAAGTCCATCCCGTGGTCCAATCTCCCACTGCCATGCTGGCAACTTCCACCCATCCAGTTCCAGTCAGATGCAGAGGTGCAAAGATGAAAGATGACCTTGGCTTTCTAGAAAGAAGGTTGTTATGGCTACATAGCATCTAACTCCGTCCAATCTCCCTGCTCCCATTTTCCCACTATAGAAAAGGCATAGTAGAATAATAGAAAGTGGGGCAGGCCAGAGATCCAAAAGAAAGCTAGCAGGCATGACAAGGGCTCTTCTGCCCCCCCCCCTTTTTTTTTTTTTTAGGATGACAGATACTTCTTAAGCGGCTCGCTGGACGGCAAACTTCGGCTCTGGAACATCCCTGACAAAAAAGTGGCCCTTTGGAACGAGGTGGACGGACAGACCAAGCTGATCACTGCGGCAAACTTTTGCCAGAATGGCAAATACGCCGTGATCGGCACCTACGACGGGCGGTGTATCTTCTACGACACAGAGGTGAGCCCCCTGGGACCCCAGCTTTCAGCCCCTGCTGACCCCCCCCTTGAGATCTCCGCAGGGCTCACCTCTGTCTCCGCCGTGACCCTTTCCTGAATCTCGAGGGATCTTGTGAAACTTTCTTTCTCCCTTCTTCCCCCCCGTGTTTCTCTTTAGCATCTCAAGTATCACACTCAAATCCACGTGAGGTCGACCAGAGGACGGAATCGAGTGGGGAGGAAGATCACGGGGATCGAGCCCCTGCCGGGTGAAAACAAGGTAGCGACAGGCTAGGCTGAGTCTCAGGGTACGGCCTGCGGGAGGGGATTTACGTGCCCGGGCAGTTTCAACTCATAACGCCCACCGTCACGGAAGGAATTGGGGCCATCAATCTGAGGACAGATATTACAACATTTGAAACACAGGTCAGTCTGAAGGCATTTGGCTTCTTGTCTACAAGCTAAGGTCCATCCCGCTTTCTGAATTAGCCAAGAAAGATTCCTGGTTCATTTCCCCCCCCCCCTCCCGCAAGAGTATATGGAGAACAAAGCAGTTACAGAGCAGAGCAGGCGGAATCTGTTAGGTAAGCTCCCCGTTGGGAGAGCGAGTGCGTTCAGAGAAGCGTTGTGAGAGTTGTGTTG